GCTCCACTTCCTGCTGCGATACTGTATTTCAGCTACCTACGGATTGCAGTTTGCTGTAAACAAGGGAAAAGGCTACTGAAGCATTTTATACAACAATTGATGCAACATGAGTACAAGGCGTACAGCATACACAATGTTTCAGACTGGCATTCTTACTTACGTCTCTGATCTAACAGAACATTTCACAGCTAAAGGAGCAGGAATCTAAAGCGTCTTTTATAAAAATGAGATTCATACAACATAAGTTGCAGGGTGACAATGGCCATATGTGGGTTTAGGTAAGGAGCCTTGTACGTGTCCAACATGCACACCTACCAACGCATTCTGAAAATTCATTATTCAGATGCTTGTAATTTTTCTACGTAATCTGTTTGAGACATGTGCCATCAAATTTCCATTATCTGTCAATATTTAATATGTTGCATGTTGATAGTCTTTGAATAGCCTGGTCCTTTTCTTAAAGGGATAGGACTCTTAATGGTATCAAACAGTTAATTACCTCCTATTAGCTTGGATTGTGGCTGTAGTCAATGTACTCCATTCGTGAGATGTTTTCACAGAGGAAAACACAATATTCACTAATATACAGTAGGCCTATAAGTGATAGATAATGTCTTGAGACATTATCAACTAAAACCAACTGAATTCAAAATGACTGCCTGATTCTAAAGCCAAAACATTTAACCGATGTGTTGACTGACAGGAAAGTGACAAGAATTTTGATAATAATTATAAATTAAGTCATTAAGCAAGACTAATTCCAAATAATTTCTGGTCACAAGCTTCTCAGAACTGAACATTTGCTGCTCTTTTCTTTTCTGTATGATTGTAAGCAGGATATATTGAAGTGATAGACAAAACAATCTATTTTACTATGTTACCTTGGACTCTGGGGAATTGTGACAGACATGTTTCACTTTATTACTGACATTTTATAGACCTAACAACTGACTGATTAATTGAAAAAAAATAAAATAAATCAAAACATTCATCGATAATGAATATAATCCTGAGACGTGGAAACTACAGTCCACATCATATTAGCCTACATAAGATAAACTTTTGAATTTGAATCTCAAAAGGTAGATTTTGGGTGGAGTATTATTGTGAAATTAACAGCAAATTTCATTGGAAACGAAGGAGTAATTCCAGTTTACCTCCCTTTTGGACTGCTTTACTGTAAATTGGTTGGACTAACATTAAATATAAACACTAAATAAGAGATGTCAAAACGTTAAAGAAAGATAAGCATCTGTGAAGACACCGACAACACGAAACTATAAAATGACCTTTGAGCTCACTGTGTGATTGTTTGCCTTTATATCGATCACAGACAAGGGGGTCAGGGTTTATCTATGTTTTTGTTTACAATATTCAAAAACCTCATGGCGGTGAGGCAACTGGAGGGTGGACGTGAACTAGCAGTTTGGTGCTGGTAATTGATTCCACATTAGCCTAGCCTAGCCTGTGAGCACTCGGAGAGACGTCGCTGCTGCTTTCTTTCTCCAGCGTGAGAGTGCTGCTCCGGGAGAAGGGTTCCCAACTAACTGAAGTCTGAGAGACAAGAACCGGCCGAGCGACCTCGACACAGGGCAGGAGCAGCTGCGGGGCAGGTATGTTGGGTGTTCACCACTGCTGACGCGAAATGCTACCGGGTCTCTAAAAATTCACGTTGGCCTACAAGTAGCCTATAGATAACGTGTCACACCGGTCTTCTCTCATTTTTTTTTTGCTATGCCAGGAGACCTGAACACTAAACATGACAACCAGAAAACCGCAGAGCCTACTCCGTGAAGCTTCTCATCAGATTATTGCCGGTGGATCCGCTGGTAAGTCCAACAATCGTTTTACTTCAGTTATTTAAAACTATTGATTCACATTACGCAATAGCTTACGAGTGTGCACGATGTGAATATATGTAGCACACAAATGCAGTGGCGCCCTCCTCGTTTACCTTTCCACGAACAGCCAGAGGCTCTGCCTAGAGCATCTTTCACGTTGTTCCGCACCTGCGTCGCGGCCATAACCGACAACCGAATTATTTAGCGGCGCGGAAGGTTTGTTAATCACTCAGCCGAAGAGTTATTATGTTACCAAGATTGTTCTCGTCCTCGTCATGTGCTGAATTCCTTGCGTGTTCACGGAAGTGCCGCCGGGTCAGGACATCGCACATGCGTACAGCTGACCGGAATCTCCGTAGGACCGTCATCCAGTGATTCTGGAGGGTTTATTTCTTTTTTTCCTTCGTGATTTTATGCAAGGAAATTTTGTTTATGATAATTTTCATTATGTAACATTGACTGTTACCATGTTATCTAAATGATTAAACTATTTTGTAACTACACAGTACCTATATAAACCCTGTAACCTACCAATTGGCTGATGAGATGTGTGCCTGTGTGCCCAGCATAATGATGTAGGATAGGCTATACAAGGTTAGTGGTGAACAACAGTGTAAATTGTCATTGTACACTGCAACACGTTGTCTGTGAACCCAAACACTTCTGTCTATTAGGTATTCACAAAATATGTAATGGGGAGTCAATATATGGAAAATTAGCTTCCTGCTCATCCACTGATCTCTTCTGGGTCGCTAGAAAGATCACCCAGGCAGTACAGCAACACAGCCAATAGCTGACAAAAGATATGCCCATAGCAACATAAATTAAGCCAATCAGCGTCCTCAAATCTGATGCCTGAAGGGCAAAACATTTTTCTTGCTTTTTTAAAATAGCGGGGACTGTTACAGGAGTAAACGACACGATACATTTATCTGAGAACATTAAGAAACATGAGTGTATGAGGGCATATATGGAGAATACGGTGAAGCTAGCCATGTTAGGCAGAGTTAACAACCTTACACAGCTGTACGAAGGCCACAGGATTGTGAGGAGACACATCGAAGAGGTGGATAAGAACAGGCACGGTTTCATACACTTTCTATAGGCTAATAACACAATCTAAAAGCCGAAACCCTATTGGATGGGGGTCCGTGGTCTAGTTAGGGGTCTTTGAAGTGAAAAAGTTTGAGAACCACTGGCCTACAACATCTGTTCTACTGAATAATGCATCCACTCCCTTTCAGACACTTTGCTGTGCACATTAGGCTAATCAAATGAGGTTGCTGAATCTTAAGAAATGCTACTTCTGCTAAGTGTAATAAAATATTGATCATTCTAAATCAATGATTCATTTATCACCACTGATGAACTGGGCCGGATTATCCAATGGGCATTCTGGGAAAGCATTGTTGCAGTCATGTCAATCCTGTATGATGTATAACTTTACAGGTGTTAATCAGTGTAAATCCTGTAGAGAAATTTGTATAGATATCAAAGCGCTTTTACACTACATCTGCATTCACACATACTGAGCGTAAGTGCTCAAACAGAAACTGACACTGACTGACACTGGCGGGAACAGTCGCCAGGGGCAATTTGGGGTTCAGTATCTTTCCCAAGGACACTTTGACTTGCACCTGGGGGAGCCGGGATTGAACCGCCGACCTTCCCGCCGACCAACCCGCTCTACCTCCTGAGCAACTGCTGCCCCGGATAGTAGACCCGTTTCCTGTATAAACTACTGACTACTACTTAGAACAGGCCGATGTTGAAAGCTGTTCTGTATGTGGGCTATAAAACCTTTTCCTAAATGGATTATGTTAAAAATGTCTAAGATTTCAGTCTCAGCAACTGAACATGTAAACAACTGCACATCAATAAATATTTGCTGCTAGAAAGTGCAGAGAGAGAATAAGCATGTGTTTTTGACCTTACACATAATCTGCCATAATAACTTTCTATGTAGCATATTCATGTTTCCCTTTACCAGTACTCCTAAAGTTTACCCAAATCTACCAGAAACCATTTCTCAACCACTACATGACTGTCTACAACTCTGAGATTTCACGATGTTGCACATTTAAAAGAGGAGCTTGTTTGGCTGGAAGATGTGTTATGTTCAGCTCACAATTACATGTTTGGACTGTAACAACAGACATGCAGCTCGCAGA